CAGCTTGAATTCTTCATAACCTCTGAATTGTGGGTGACCCAACGGGTCACGGTAGTCTAGTAACCACTAAAAATATAACGTGTGTAAAATAATTAAACAACACCTGGTTGATACAGTAAAGCTGTGATTAAAATCAGGTTCACTAATAAGTTTGTTTGTTTGTTGTTAAACAGAAAGCTACACAATAGACTATCTGTGCTTTTTCCATCACAAGTATCAAAACCAGTCTTTTAACATTATAAGCCCAAAGATTTACCACTGAGTCATCAGGGGGCATACTTAGAGGTAATTACTGGTTTATGTAAACTCTGATAACCAACTTTTACACATCTAATAACTGAATAGTATGCCTTAAAAACTCTCTGATCTTTGGTGCAGCCTATTTAATATATTACATAATTTTACATATATTTTACAAAACATATCTGTTATATTTAGAAAGCAATAGAAACTTTCTTACACAAATAAATTTAAAATCATGAATTACTTTCTATTCCTCACAACTATTAATCCTTGGTTACTCACAAAGGAAATGATCAGGTCAGCAAAGTGAGTGTTTATAAACGGGTGTTACTAATTACCATGTACTGTAAAAAGTAATAAAAATACTTGAACAAGCAATGTTCTATGTTTCATGCCAGTTTCCTTCTAACATTCATTTTATTTATTTCTAATTTACTGTGAAGTGAAGTAATTCTTTATACAAGAATCTGTATAATCACAAATAAGACACTGTAGATTTTATCACAAATAAGGCGCTGTAGATTTTTGTTCAAATTAAATCTTTAATCAATTTTCACTAATAAAACACAAATTTTCATTGAAATCACAGTGAAAATTATAAACTGCTTTGGTGTAAAACTAATACAAGCTTTGAAAAAAATAAAATTATGAAAAATACATTTTTAACAACTAAAACAAATTGGGAACTATTTTTCTTTTATAGATAATATAAACAAAACCTACACGCTACCTTTAACTAAGCACAGAGTTGAGGAAATTTCTAAATTTAGATCAAGAATTTAAAAAACCAGTATGAATATTGAAAACCATTTTTCTAGATTAGAAATGTTCTGAAAACAATACCACAAATGAGTTTGTACGAATGTAAAAACATTAAAAAACATAGATTGGAAGACAATTTCAGCAGATAATCAAAAATTCCTCAGTGCTCCCTGCCATTACTCTCCCACTGTGAGTTCTGACTAGTGAAGTGTATGTGCTTATTCTAAGTTGATAAACCGGCTGCATCACCAGTTCTGACCAGTGAAGTGTATGTGTTATTCTAAGTTGATAACCCGGGCTCCATCTCCAGGATGGCAAACATAGAACGTAGGATGTCCATGATACTTACTCTGTAACACAGTAAAAAACATAATAATTAGCATTTAACATGTGATGAAGTGTCTGTGCTTATTCTAAGTTGATAAACCAGGCTCCATTTCCAGGATGGCAAACATACAATGTAGGATGTCCATGATAGTTACTCTGTAACACAGTGAAGCATTTAATACAAGTTGAAGCTTTTAAGTTTTGTTTTTTATCCAATAAAAATAACAAGATATTTTTATATTGGAGAAATGACCCACACATGGCACAAAACAGAAAAATACCCCCCCCCCCTTGTTTGGAGTGTTCCATTCCTTATTTAATGATCTTTATTTTGCAAAATGTTGAATAAAAAAAATTCCTCAATCAATTTATGGTGGGGGTTTCTGGCTATACAAATAACAGAACTTAATCTTGTAGTTTGTTTACTGCATCACTCTCTTAAGGACATTTCATTCCACCCATAAAAACGATTTTAGTTACATAAACATATACATGTATATAACATGGCTCCTCAATGTCAACTTTTTAACATCCAGTATAACAAATGGTTTACTAAAAACAGCAAATTACTTTGTTTTCAGTATATATGAAAGTAACTAACAGCAAGGATTCTAAACTGACTTATCCAGACAGGTTAATCTTAAGTGTACATCATTTAACTCAGAGTTTCTCAACCTTTTTTTTTTGCATTTCAAGGCCCACTAAGTTATTTGACACAACAGTAAAGGGCCATGTTTGCATTAGTTCAGAGCAGTCACAGTTTGCAGTGGCCCATAAATGCACAGAGGCTGGAATTACACCACCTTAATACAGGGGATGGAATTACACCACCTTTAATACAGAGGCTGGGATTACACCACCTTAATACAGAGGCTGGGATTACATTATCTTAATACAGAAGCTTGGATTACACTATATTAATACAGAAGCTGGGATTACACTATCTTAATACAGAAGCAAGGATTACATTACCCTAAAAAAGAGGTTGGATTACACCACTCTAATACAGAAACTGGTATTACACCACCCAAACAAAGAGGTTGGAATTACACCACCTTAATACAAAGGCTGGAATTACACCACCTTAATAAAGAGGTTGGGATTATGCTACCTTAATATAGATGCTGGGATTACACCACCTTAATAAAGAGGCTTGGATTATGCCACTTTAATAAAGATGGTGGGATTACACCACCTTATTACAGAGATTTGGATTACACCACCTCAATACAGAAGCTGGGATTACATTACCTTAATATAGAAACTGGGATTACACTATCTTAATACAGAAGCTGGGATTACACTATCTTAACACAGAAGCTGGGATTACACTATCTTAATACAGAAGCTGGTATTACACTACCTTAATCTCATTTATGGCTTCTTGAACAACAGCTGTTTTCAATAATGTAACAGTGCATCCACCAAACCCTGCACCCGTCATACGTGATCCATACACTCCTTCCACATTGGCTACAACTTTAACAAGTTCATCAAGCTCTGGGCAGGATACCTTATAGTCCTTACTGAAACAAAAACACTACAGATATTAACTCTTCTAAAGAAAATTTCTCAGACATACGTACACCAATTAACTAACTGTTAAAAACCTCAGTACTTGAAATTTTATTTTTACTAATGCTTTAGTATTGACAGATATCACACAAACAGGCTGTTTCTTCAATACAATTAACATTCCGTTTATACATATCATAAAAAAAAAAAATACATAAACAACACTAACTAAAATTTAAAGAAAAAAAATGGCTCCTACTTGACCGGTTTGAAAGTAATAGAAGTTTTATTATTTCGTTTTCTCAAGAGACAACAATGTAAATATTAAAGGAAGTCTGATTTGTTACCTTAAAGATTCATGACTTTCAAACATCCACTTTCCAAACATCTTGTAATCTCCAGCTTCTAAGGCCTCTGCACTCTGTTTGGTACGGTGTATCTCCATGACAACATGATGGACTTGACGATACATCTCTTCTGTCAACTTGTTCTGAAAATCTAAGAATAAAATACCAATAAGAGATTATAACTGCAATTTGCAAATTCTAGATGAAATCTTCAGTTTCCAAAAAAATATTATTTTTTTTAATTACAGAGTTTTTAGGTATTTAGACAAACTTTTAGTACAAAAGCCAAATTTTCTTGTTTAGATGAAATATCCGATACTTATTTTATACTAAAGAAAGTTATTTCTGCCTATGTGATGAGACCAAAGGGATAGATTATGTTTTTCATATTGTTAAATCTGCAGTTTGTAACATTGTAATAAAACTTTGCAAGTTCTTACTGTTACAACATAAACTAATAACTCTACAGGTGTCACATAGGTGTCTCATTCAGATACTTCTTTGAGTTTTACTATCATAAACGTTTGCTAGTATTTCAGTAAGTTTTGTATGTGTGGGCAGCCGTGAAATATATGTAGTCACACATAAAAGTAGCACCTAACCTTAAAATTTATTGATGTAATCTTTTCTGAGCTTAATATATCACACTGTTTGAAACTTTAACAATATTTTTCTTCACCACAGTAACATCCATGTCAGCTTTACTGCTCTTTTGCTAAAAGAAGTATTAGTTTTAGGTAACATTCACAAAATAATTAGTAAACTAGTAAGCAAAAACAACGTCATTAAAACATAGGATGATAATAATGAGATTAGTTTCAAACAAAGAAACCTATGTAACTTATCACTTAAATTACAAGAAAATGGTACGATTGAATACACAGATTAGGATTTATTGTTCTTCTAGTAAACAAACTTTCCATAATATATCTTTTAACTACTTTTGTTTTTACTTGATTAAAATCAATGGATTGTAATAATCAATGATTGTTTATGTTTTGTTGTTGTTTAAAGCTCATTGTAATGGGTGGCAGTAATCTACAGAGTTGGGATTGTTGTCACTTTCAACAACGAGAATATACTCTCAAAAAGATATAGAGTCCACATACTTATCCGACAGATGTTTCACTTTGTTTCCTTTTAAGTTTATTGGATTTTTACATCTTTTTTATAACTAGCATTTTCAGTTACATTTTTAACAATTTCAATAATTAAAATACAAACAAAAACATGCTGATCAGGATTTAGTAGGCTGTATAATGAAAAGACTTTACAGACTGTATAATGAACAGAACTCTGTTGACTGAATAATGAACAGAACTCTGTTGACTGATTAATGAACAGAATTCTGTTGACTGATTAATGAACAGAATTCTGTTGACTGATTAATGAACAAAACTCTGTTGACTGATTAATGAACAGAACTCTGTTGACTGAATAATGAATAGAACTTTGCAGGCTGTATAATGAACAAAATTTTACAGACTGTAAAATGAACAGAACATTACAGACTGTATAATGAACAGAACTTTACATTGTGTATAATGAACAGAACTTTACATTGTGTTTAATGAACAGAACTTTACAGGATGTATAATGAACATAACTTTACATTGTGTATAATGAACAGAATTTGCAGACTATATAATGAACAGAACTTTTCAGGCTGTATAATGAACAGAACTTTTCAGGCTGTATAATGAACAGAACTTTACAGGCTGTATAATGAACAGAACTTTATAGACTGTATAATGAACAAAACTTTATAGGCTTTAACAAGAACAGAACTTTACATTGCATTTAATGAACAGAACTTTACAGGCTGTATAATGAACAGAACTTTGCAGGCTATATAATGAACAGAACTTTGCAGGCTGTATAATGAACAGAACTTTACAGG